CTGCTGCCACTACTACACTACACTACTGAAAACGAGAGTACTACTGTTACCACTACAGCGCCACTGTGGCTATCCCACTTCGTCCTCAACACATTCCCATTTCAGATCGTCTGTAATCTCCACACGATTTATGGAATGTTCAGACAAACGACTTTCACATGAATGGAGCTGGCTCTAAAAGCCGTCTATGCGGTCGAAAATTTCCTCATGTGTGTATGCTCTCGCTGCAATTGCACTGCAACCTCACTCCAACTCAAATCACCCACCCAGGGCATGCGGCTGAGTCGTACGCACATGTCACTGTTAAGAAACGCGCCATGAGTTCGCAGACATGTGGATACAGTAAAATCCAGTAAGAGACTAAGGGCATACTCAGAGTGGGACTTCTTATACTATCCCTATGGACGTCATTACGGTCAGGTTCATCCAGGTCCGGACGTAGTAGCAGTCGGATCAATTTAGGAAAGTGCCAGTGTGAGTCTGCCCTATGGACCAGCAGGTCCCACCAGTGAAGAGGATGGTTTTAGAAAAGAGATTCGTAAAAAAAAAAAAAAAAAAAAAAAAAAAGAGATTCATCTCGGGAAAAAAAAAAAGAAAAAAAAAAAGAGATTCAGAAAAGCCGTTGAATCTCGATATTCTGCACCTGTTCACAAACAGATCCCGATTCACGCATTCAACACAATCCTGTTGGCCAGTGGGACCTAGGCCCTCGCTGCACTACTCTCCAAATGTGCAAAATGACAATGAATGTTATGCTAGAACGTGGAAATATACATTGCCATCTTTTTTGTATTTCGCGCATGTGGAGAGCAGTGCAGCGAGAGCCCTACTGTAGTCACCTAACTCCAGCTCAATTCAAGCAGGACAAAAAGGGCAAAAAACAAAAAACAAAAAAAGGCAGGACAGACTCGCGACCTGATTCCAGCTCAGATCGCAGCCCCAAAGGTACGGCAGCTCTCTTCCATTCTCCCCGATACTCATCCGCCAAGTGGCGCGCCTGTACGCAAGTAACGACAACAAGAGTCTACATCGACCGTATTTCTTTTTTATGCACGACTACCAAAGAGAGGCGTACGCTCGAGTCCACTGGGGTCGTTTCAAAGATATATGTATGGGTGAGGCCCGGCTCGCACGGACGAAGAGATAGGGCCTCGCCACACCACTCCCGGGGCAAGGTCCCACTTGCACGGATTAGGAGATTTCGGCCGTTGATCTCGGCTATCTACGGTCTCTATCGCTTAATTCGTGCAAGTGGGACCTAGCCCCCGGGGCCATGCCCCATTGCCGAGGGTTCAGACTTGCTTCTGAGTAAGCACGGGTTTGTGCCATCCGATCCGAAAATCGTAGGGCCACACTGTGGCCACGTTGGAAAAAACTTGAAAACTAAATTACACCCGGGGTCACTCCTGCTAGTGGGGCATGGCCCCCGAAATAGTGGAATTCGAGAGCGAAGTAATAGCCACCCCTGCTCTCGAGTTGAGGGGGTCAAGAAAACTCCGAGTTCTGGGCGAGGGGGGTTTGAGAGAAAGGGCTTCGCCAGAGATCTGTCAGAAAAAAATTGAGATTGCTGGTTTCAAGAGTTTCAGGCTCTGTGCCACACAGCAATCTTGACCAGCTGGCAGGTGGCTCCGGTATCAAGGAGACACCCAAACAAGCACTGCTGTCAGGGTAACAGCCCTGACACCTCTCGAAAATGTAGTGCCTTGCGAGGGTCAGGCTTGGACCCCACTGGCTGGCGGCTGGAAAAGCAGGTTGGCCACCATTGGGTTCCCACTCTCAACACTGGAAACGGTGGTAGGAGCCGTGGTCCATGACCTTCGATTGTTGTTGTACTAGGACATGTCTATGTGCAGCTGTGTGTGTGACCCTGTGTGACGGATGCCGGTAAGGTACCGTGAGGCACACAGTGTGCTCATGGGGTCTGCTCCCACGGTGTGGCGCTTCGGAGCACTGAAATTACCGTTGACGGCATACTTGGCTGTCCCCCGCCTGCCATTGGCACCCGGGACTGGTACCCAACATTGCGGGGAAGCCATAGTTGTTGAAAGACGATGAAGGTCTGGGGAGGCGTTGTTGTCCACGAAGGCTGTGACGCCCAACCTCACGCCCAGCGCGACTTCATGTTCGGAGTGGGATGGGGGCCCGGAAGTGCGAAAAGGGGTTTGCCAAGGATTTTTGGAAATTGTAGTGGAGTCCCAGGTCAGAACTGAGATCTCCGGTGGCAAGCTTAGGGGTAGTTGAGCAAGCTGGTAATCCCGAGTTATATTGGTCTTCGGGAGACCAGGCTACCTCCCGTGTGAGTGTCGCCGTCGCGGTCGGTCCCGTATCCGATGGACCATCCGGATGCTGTGTGTGTCGTGCTGGGTGATCAGCCGCTGGCGCCGCTCGTGGCAGACATCGGAATCCGACGAGGCTGGTCTCAGTCCGAGGCTGTGAGATCGCTGGTCTGCCTCAGTCCGGGTTCGGCGAACGAATCCCGCCGTGCGGTAAGCGCGGTGTC